ATATTATATTATATTATATTATATAGTTCTGGCATCCACATTTTTTCCCTTTTTCTTTTTTCTTTGCACTTTAATTGCTAAGGAATGCCAAAATGATTTTAAGAACTATATGTCTAACTTGAAACTCATGTGTGCACGATGATTTCAGTGAAATCTCAATGGGTAATTTTAGGGAAATGCTTTGTTCACATAAACTGAAACACTTTTGTGAAGCTGCTAGGAAATGCTAGTCTTTCAGGGGAATAGTATCCTATGTTTTTTAAGTAGTTTCTTGGCATCACATATAAATCCATTTGCACCAACCAAGCTGCCAAGCCAATCAATAATGTACCAGCAGAGGCTTTGAGCCACTTCAGATAGATCCCGAATGACACTGTTCAATAAAATATAGATGGGCTGAGTTTTTTTTAGCAGTTTGCACAGGTGATTAGATTGGATGCTTTCATTCATATGCGCTGTGCCTATTTTGTAGTAACAAGTTTTTCTACTTTTTTTTTAAGTAGACTTTCAGAGAGAAGGAATCTTAGATATTGTAGCTAAACTGACCTTCCAACAAGAAAAAAAAAAGGAAATGTAAATGTAGCCATTTAAACAAATCTCTTTCAAAGTTAAAATAAGAAGCAACTGTGCATAAAATATTGCCTTCCGAAGTCAAAACTGGGCAATAATTAAGGTTTCAATTGAAAAGCTATTTATTAGAAAGAAATCTTATTAAAATCTATAGTCAATTTTCAGAAAAAGTGGGAGAACCACTGTTTTGCTAAAACCAGTTAAATAATTAATGCACAGCTTAAAATCTACAATAGTATACAATTTTGAAATATCACACGCATATACAAACAGCTACTAAAAATTATTTCTATAGTTCATCTCTTCCATATAATATATGTTGGCATTCTATGTCCAAAATCTCTTAGCAAAGCAGATTCTTCTTTGCCCAGGATAGAGGAAGACGCCACTTAAAATCACAAACTGACTACAGTACTTACTGTACCAATTTCCTTTAAAAAATACTAAGCAGTGATAACATACCATTGTATCTATACTATTGAGGAAGGCGATGTGACTGACCTAGGGCTCCTGGCCTGTTTTGTATATTTTTATTCCACATCAGATTTCATTTCCAGTAGTGGCAAAGTGTTGGTGGCCACAAATTTCTAGGAAGAATAGGAAACTAATAAGAGTATGTCTCTTCAATATACAACTCTATTAGATGTGAGCTAGGATATTTACTTAATTATTTCACATTTTGGATATCTAAGTAATACATATTACAGACTATCATAGAAGGGCTCTACAATCAGCCTGAAAGATTGCAAATTATAACCATTTTATTGGTTATAACAGAATTACTCTGTGAAGCTTCTCTAAGAGAGGTTGAAAATATGTGCTTGAATGAAGGTGTTTGTTGTTGCAAAAGAAAGAAAACAGATGGAACCTGTTGAGAAACTTCAGGAACTTTCCCATATGTGGACAGTAAATTAGTCTTAGGTCATATCCCAACTGAGTCTTGAAGTCACAGGGCCAGTCATATTCTGCCAGACTATAAAACTGTTTTGAGGATGAATGAGTTTGGAATTCTAACAAAACATGTTAGATGTCCATTTTACTGGGCAGCATACCTATTTTCCCAAGTTTTACTAAGCCATCTTCAAACTGTGTTTCTGCCTGAATGTACAACAGTATCATCATTTTGATTATAAGCTCAAAAAAAAAAAAGGCAGAAAACCTTAAAGAAATTAGGCAAATTGTGCAGCAAAATAAATAAATAATAAGTAAAAAACAGCAGACTTTGCAGTGCCTGACAACCCATTTTTTCTGTTCCAAAAATACTAATTGAAAAACATTCAGTTATGCCCAACGTCTTAACTAAGTTATCCTAGCCTTTATTTGGAGAAAAGTCAGACTACTAGCCCATCTAGCTTAGTGTTGCTTCTTCAACCTGGTGTTCTCCAAGTTTTTTGGACAATAGCTCCTATAATTTGTGTTCAACTTGGTCAATAACACTAAAGTAGAGGTCCACCTTAACTGCTACAAGGTGGCCCACACTGAAAACATGGTTGCAAGGCTTTTTTAATCCTACCTGGAGGTTCCAGGAGTTGAACCAATGACACTTAGAATAAGCATTTGGCTTACCACTTATCTATAGTGCTTTCCAAATCTTGGCCTACCCAAACAGATACTGTGATGCTGTACAAATTCAAAACCAGGATTGGGATATAGAAATATCAGCATTCCTTATCATACAAAATTATACCAATTGGCTAATCATGGTTGCCATTATTTGCTTTGAATGACCATCAGAGACTCATTGACACTTTGAGCACAACTACATATATATTTGTATTCAAAGTTAAGTACACCATCCAAGTTAGTCTCCCAGTATCATTTTATTAACTGTTAGTAATAATTTGTACTTCCAGATATATCCTAGTAAGATCAGAAGATTATAACTGGTGAAGTCTATGCAGTGCTTTAAATCTGAAAGCAAAAAAAAAAAAAAATGCTCTGAGCATGCAGAGGCACTCATATAGCAGCTATCTATAACCCTTTAAATAAGCCAAGTCATTTCTTGGGATTGTGTAGCTGCATTTGGTTTAAAGAGTTGTAGAGTTGAAGTCCATGCC